GAACAAGAACAGTTGTCCATTAATTTATATTCTCAGTTAGACATTGGCTTAGATGGCGAGTTATACCCCTGTCTGTTACAAGATAATTCAGAACTAACACAAGCACACACACCGTTGCACAAAAGAGTGTTATTATTACCATAATGGGGAAATAAGTTGAGGTGGTGAAAGAGTAAAAATACCTGAGTGTTCACTTGGAAAATTAGACTCAACTAGAGACGCAACTCTGACACCATCTACAGGGACAGAGCAGACTGTACTGTACTTCTAAAGGAAGCTATAGGTCCTTAATGTCTCTGTTGCATCTTTATGCAAACACAGAGGGAGTATGAAGACTTCTGCTATGATCTGCTGGTGTAACATCAGAACCAATGACTTAAAGAAGCTCAACAGGCTGATAAAGAAGGTCGGCTCAGTTCTGGGAACTAATCTAGAACATCTGGAAATGATTTTACTTAGATTAATAGTTTACTAAATGAAAAGCATTGTGGATAATAATGACTGCCTTCACAAACTATTCTCCAGATCCACTGAAAGATAGACAGCAGACTCACAACTATCATCATAAGCAACAACTTCAAAGAAAACTCTATGGGCTATTACAACATTTGATTTCTCTTTGGTATTATTATTTTATTTTATTTTACTTAGATTGAAATAACTTACATAATGGTAAATAACCTAAAATTCTATATATATGGGTGAAGGATGAAATTCAGAGCCCCTATAGAGAAACCACTTATTTATAGGAGAATGTGTAAATTTAGTAAAGGATTAGCTGCTGCTTTGCGCTGCCAGTTAAACATTAGTCTCTTCCATATTATCAATCAACCTAAAACAGTCCAAACCAAAATATGTAACTTAATGAAAATAAATCTTATAGATTTTTTGCTTGTTTGTGTCACTAGGGATTTTAAAAGAATTATTTCAGAATGTGAGACCTTACTGAATGCAGAGATAATATACTGTGATCTTAAATACATGCACTTAGATTACAATTGATATCTTACTGTTTTTATGTACTTTTGTTTATGAATGGTGGCAATAACTGGAGGAAATTATAAAGAAAATGATTACGTTTTAGTGTCTAGAATGGTGATCAACTCTGTAAGCCTTCATTTTCCTTTACACGCCTCTCTTTCTAGCTGAGTTTAGCTTACTTTAACCCTGCTCAGTCATATGATATTCCCTTTTTTATTTACTTTTACATCTCTATTTCATCAAGGTATTTCCCTCGCTGATTTTACTTCACACTTAACAGTTAGTAAATGCAAATGAACAATATATGAATACATTATATTTTAGTACGGTAACAATGGCTCCATTGCATTGCATTGATTATAATTAGACAAGTAACTATTTCTGATTTATTCGTTTTTTTTGCAAAATTCCAGATGTAAATCCAAAACCAACAAGCTGTTGTTTTAATAATGCATGGTTTCTTTTCACAGAGAGGAAACACAATGCAGTTCTTGGAGTTGTATTTAGAAAGTAGAGGTTGTGGTCAGCAGCAGATCAAACTTTGCAAATGGAAAATTTTCCAGGAGTGACTGAAAAACAACCTTCGAATGTATGCATAAACCACCTGTTTTGTAAATGGAAATCATCCGAGGGCCGCAAATGGCCCCCAGGGCCTAACCTTGGACACACCTGCTTTAAATTCATCCCTATTGTAACACAACTTAGCAGCTTACAGGGAAGAAGTTTAGCTTTCTGAACCAGATTTTTAGGATGCAACTAGAACTATATATTATATATAACTATATAACTATATACTAGATATATATTGGAGAAATCTTTACATTTTGTATTAAAGATGTCAGAAATATATAATAATATTAAAAATAATTATAATACTAAGAAGATATTTCAGCAAATCTAATAAATGTACGAAATGGTCTGTAATTGTAATTCTGTGTAAATTTTTGCTTCAATGAACTTTAATTGATAACTATCTTTTCATTAACACATTTTCTATCATAAAGAAGTTTAAGAAAATAGTAATTTTTCAATTTATTTACCATATATACTTTCTAAACCACAAGGTGGCGCAAATGAATCATAGAGGCAAGCAAGGAATCCACCAGAACCACATAAGCACAAATGAATTGAGATAATACAGAAGCAAAGTAACACAGGCATTAAAGTTTGTATTTGTGTTGTATTTCCATTATAATATGCAGTCAGTAAACTGTAATCTGGGTTATATAAATTCTATTTTATGCTTTTATGTAAAAAAAAAAAAAAAAAAAAAGGCTAAATTTGGGTTGTTACAACTATCTTTGCTATCTAAAAGAAAACACATTGTTCTGTGCAGATACGGATCAGAAAACTTCCTGCAGCAGTAGGAGCAAGACTTATTGTCCTCTCAGCAGGGCAGTGAGTGAAGGTGCAGGCCACCCATCTTGACTCATCCTACACATTCCAAGATGGACTCAAGAGGTAACTGGAGAGCTGAGAGAACAGCAGGACACCTTTGATCACTGTAGTCAGAGTGAAGGGCTGCCTAAAAGAGCATTCCACTGACTTTTGGGACTTACAGACTGCTGTAATGTCAATTTAAACCTAATTGGATCATTTATATGTTTTTAAGAAAAAGAAAACATTTTTTTTTTTTTACTGTTGGCGAATTAGATTGTGTTTAATAACATTTTGTATGAGAGGAAGTCATATCTGCTCCTGTGGTGTTTACATAGGGTTCAAACAGAGTAACTTCCTTGATTCTTGCTTTTTGGACTCTTCCTTTTTAGGCAATGGGCTGCTGCCTCGTACGCCCTCTTGGGATTCTGTGGGAATTCCTGAGCTGGTTTGCTTGGCAGCTGGTGCTCAATCTTGAAATGTGTTTTGTTATGGGAGGTTGGGACAGAAAAGGAATTGGGAAAATAATGTGCTATGTTGGGCTACTGGTAGAGATGGGTTTGGAAATATGTGAGTGCTACGTTGTCTGTGTTTGTGTAGGCATTGCGCTTCGCAATGATTTTGACACTTGAATTTTGTTCACTTATTGTACTTCAAATTGAAGTGCTTTTTGTCTTCATTCATATCATGGCCCAACCCAATCTGTGGCATAAGTGTGACAATGCAGGAAATTAGCTGTTTATTACTCTATAAATAAAAAAAACAATAATTTTGCAAAAAATACTTTTTTTCAACATTGCTGAAGCTTAGTCTGATCTGATCAGTTTCAAAGTTCTTCCAGGGATTCCAATTTGAATTTACGTTTATATTTCTGACACATGAACATGTTTTTGTTTATTTTGTTTTATCATTTTAACAACGTCAGTCTAGTTGTATTTTTAGGGTTGTTGACCGACTAAAAAAAATGTGCGCCTTGATGAGTTCTTCAAAAATAAACTACAAATCGAATTCCTGTAATAGTTCCTGTTATCTGACCTTCAGCTCTGCCTATCTTTCTTGTACCTGTTGAATACAAATGAAACATCATGATTCTGCCATCATTATGTTCAATTGCAGGGGGATGTTATTTTTCTGGGTGAAAACTAAGTCATCCACCCACATTTAGTTTAATTTTGTGCTTTTGTTGTCCCACTGATTGCATTGTTATCTTGCATAATATATTTGCTTTGTCATCTTTTTATAAAAAAAAAAAAAAATAGATAGCATGATAAATAACTTATATCTTCCAAATGAGTGGTGGATCTCTGCTTGTCTGCCTTTGTGATTAGTGCTCTATGAGGTGGTCAACCTTTTCCAGCTTTATATTTATCCCAAACTGTATTCCTTGCCTCGTTGTTTTGTTCCTTAGTCTCATAAGGCTATTATTTAATGATGAGGGTGCCTCGAAAATGACACTTGGTTTGTTTACAGGCTAAGACTAAAATATTGTAATGCAAAATTGATACCTCTATTAATATGATGCACTACTTTGCAATGCTCTATCATGTTAGGTAATGAAGTTTATGATTATAGGTTTGTAAATATTTCTTCTTAATGATTCATATGGACAGGGACCAATGCTCCTGTAGAACTGGTCGAGGCCCCTGTAATGGCCCCTGTACTAAAGACAGAAACTGTCATTGAAAGGTCATTTTGCTCTATTTCATATTTTTACCTTCACTCTTTTATTTCAACAATGTTTTTAAAATGAAGGATTTGCACTTTTATTTAAGAAGTATTGAGACAGGATCATCGTTTCAGGGATGCACTCATTGCAAGTTTCAGGCTGATAATGTTTCAGGCTTATTTTATTAAAACTAAAAGAAAAAAAACCCTGTGAATCAGGGAAAATTTTTCAGAAATGTTTAAAATAACATTCTCAAATATAAATAAAATATTGAGAGCATTGACAAAGCCTTTGCAGTATATGTGGTCTCCAGAGCCCCAATCGACTCCTTGGTTCTGCGCCTCTCTTAATATACATTGACTCTTTTAGATTTATTACAACAACAACTGCAGTAAAACATAGAGTTCTAATTTAACACTAATTCCGAGAGAGACAAAATGCACTCATAAGTGTTACTTTAAGACTGCAAAACTTACTGTGTCAGTGCAGATATTAGAATACTTGGAGGACAGCAAGACTGCATCACCATAATGTCTGTATTGTGAAAAGATTGTGCTTATTATAAAAGTTTAAAGTGTGTTTCATTATTAGGTCACTACAATCATACATTTTCTATGCATATGAGCTCATATCTATTTATTGAAATTTAATTTCGCTTGAGTAACAACTTCTGTTTCTGTTGTAAAAAAAAATTTAAAAATTAAAAAGCAAAACGACACGTATTATTATTCAGTGTAAAGTGGTTGGAATGCTTCAGTAGGCACATATTTCCCTTTTAGGACATGTGGATCTATTACGTAATTTAGAGAACGCCCGGATCTAAGGCCAGCTAACTCTGTAAGAGTGGGAGGCATTAATGAACGACACCGCTTTTGACCAATCAGACACGAAAACTCTTTCCGTTCGTTCCCTGATTGGTCAGATGGTTCTCTGACGTTCAGTGTCTTTTTCTTTTTTCTTTACGTTAATGGCTTTACAGGAGTAGTTGAAGTCTTTACGCAGTGCCCTGGGAGAAAAACGGTTGGCGGAGTGCAAGCTGTTTTTTTTTCCCTCGCTGGACTTTTGTGTTGGGGAACCTGCATTAAGTTATTGAAGATAATTTTTTTTTTTTTTATTGAGTAGTGTTTCAAAGTAGCCAAGATGCCGGTTTTCCACACGAAGACCATAGAAAGTATCCTGGAGCCGGTGGCTCAGCAGATATCCCATCTGGTAATAATGCACGAGGAAGGTGAAGTTGACGGAAAGGCTATCCCGGACCTGTCTGCGCCGGTGGCTGCTGTTCAGGCGGCCGTTAGCAACCTCGTTAGGGTGAGTAACTTTTCTCCCCCACTCCCTCCCACACTTGTCTGTTAAACTCCCAGGTCCAGGCTAACGAAGCGCGCGCCTGGAGGGGGGTTGGACTAGCTTTGCCTACCTGAAGCTTTGTCACAGGTTTTCCCTCTCGAAATGAGCTAAACCTTAAAATACAACAATTTTAACCAACGGGATAGTGTGAGAAAACTTAAATGTTAGCAGGGAACGTGTATGGGGTATAAAACTTTCCTGAAGTGGATGTAGTTGGGGCAAAGGGCAATGACGCCCTTTTTCCCCCTTCAAAGTGTGCCCTGCCCTCCCTACGTAGGCACTGCTCGATGCTCACAGCGGCGGTGCGTTCGTGAATCACACCAATGGTCAGCCCCTCCATTTGCCACCTCACACACTCCCACTCAAAAACCCAGTGAAACAAGAACAAACTTCAGGATTTTATTAGAAACCTTCTCTTAGGTTGTTTACAAAAAATCTACCTCTTCAAAGTCCTAAAATATAACTTTCATCATATATCAATAAAAGGCACGTTTATTTGTATAGGACAGTTTATACATATATCAAACCAAAATTTGTTGCTGTATATAACATATTAACAGATATACATTTCAAATAAATGGATAAAAATGGGAAATAAACTGTTACTGTATATACTCTATTTTTTTTAGGTTTTTTTTTAGATCTTGCCATGAGACAGTTTAAAAAGGGTTACATGACTTGTATTTGTCTTTCTGTTAAACCCAAAGTTGATATTCACTAGTGTAGAATGAGACTCGTGCGATAGTATCAAGGTGCCACTTTATTGTATCTCTTATACCAGGGGTCTTCAACAGGGGGTCCTTGGAGGTACTGCATGTGGGTCGCGAAAGTTTTGGTTGATTAGACTTTTTTTTTTTGTTTTTTTTATTGCCCTGCCCCCCCCACTGCAATTTTTTTCCTACTATTTGAAATGTCTTTAAATACACATTAACATGAATTCAACACACTGTAGTAAACAGATAAATTGAGGAAGATGATGTCTTTCAGTCATCAATGCTCACATTCAGCGACACACATGATCTCTTTCAAGCTGGGCACCGTTTCATTCACAACACCTGTCCCTTCAACCAGTAATCAGAATCAGAAATACTTTAATAATCCCAGGAAGAAATGACTTTTGTTACATTACTCCATATGTAATAGATTCACTATTGGACCAGTATGATATAACACAATTTCATAAAATATATATTTAATTAGGGAGTCCCCTTTCCATCTCGCCATTAGTTTTGGGGTCTTTGGCCTTGAAAACGTTGAAGACCCCTGTCTTATATTATATCCGTTAGTTGTGCTGTTCTTTTTACATCTCTCCTTGCAGGTGATGAAGCAGACTGAAGTCGTTTTATCATTCTCTCTTTCATCTCTTCTTTCTTTGACCTTTTCTCCTTTTTTCTGTTTTTCCTTTCCTGTCCTACTTACAGTGCGGTGTCCATAATCTGTAATACTCCCGGCATAATCATTATAAAGCTATTTATATGCATAAATCAAGCGGAACACTTTGGCAATAGCCGTACTGCTCCACTTGTGAAAGCAAAATCTTTTTGGCTCTTTTTAGGCATCAAGACAATTATTCTTATTGCCACATTGCCAGACAGGACACTGTTAAAAGAGAAAAAAAAAATCCGTTTTTTAATATACATATATTATTTTTTGACTTTTAAATATAGTCAAAAAAAAAGATTTATGAAGTTAGAAATTTAACACATCCTTGTCCAGTGCATACTATTTTCTTTATTTATTTCCACTTTGTTATTAGTAAATTGTTTGTTTATAAATTGAACTGAGATAAATATATTTACAGATACCACAATAGTATTTTTTGCTTCTTAGCTGGAACTTAAATGTTTAATGTCTGGTAATTATATATATATCCAGACCATGAAATGAAAAATATTTAGTTTAGTTTATATTTAGAGTTAATTGTAATCTATACGTAGTGCTGTTTATTTTGAAAGTGTTTTTTATTTCTTTTTTTAGAAGGACGCTGTTTCACTATCATGGAAACCATGTAAGGAAATAATGCTGTTTCCTTCTTTTTTATCTTTAAAAGACAAACCCAACATGTTGTTCACCCCCTGTCAGTCAGTTCAAAGCAGAGGCCGTTGTTGCAGGGTAATGAATTTAAACAATTAATGTATCAAAATTAACTTTTATTCATCTTCTGCCGCTTATCACACAGGAATGATTTTTATCTCAAGTAAAAGGCGGGGGAGAGATGCTAATGCACCCAGCAGTCATGGTTCTTGACAGTGGGGGGAAGCCAGAGTACCTGAAGGGAACTTATGCCGTCATCGTAGGTCACTCTAAATGCAAAGCGCTCCCATACAGCAGACCTATAAAGTGCTGCTGGCGCTTCTTCCAACTCCTGTTCTTTCCCACTCGCCATACCCACACAATTCTCCACAACAACTGATTTTCTTTCTGCTACACCCGGCTACACTGCTTCGCTTCTTGTTCTTGTTTACTACTGGTGGTTGGCTTTGGTCGCAGTACCGCCACCTTCTGCTCTGGAGTGTAAACGCTTCGCCTAAGAGAAAAAGGAGCAGCTCATGAACCGAACGAAACACACGCGAACCGAACCGAGACAGTCGAACCGAACGGTTCGGAGGGTTTTCAAAAACCGTTCCATCCCTACTGCATTGCTCTCCTTTTACCTGAATAACAGTGTCAATGTGGTTTAGAGGTTAGTCTGAAACTGCTGTGTTGTTGAGGAAGCTTGTGGCCAGTTTGTGGTGAGAGGATTTAAATGGTCTAAATAGATGTGTTAGCTGTGACCTTAAACTAAATGGAATTTAGTTAATCTACATCAGTAGTGTTATGGCTGCTGGAATCCTTAATGAAAACAACTTTGACTGTGTGTATCTGACCTCTATCTTCATACATTGAGGCTCTTGTCCTCTACTGGGAAAAAATAACATTGAGTTAAAAGATTAGTTTTTATCTTTTAACTACTCATTTGCAATCCAGGCATTCAGTGTCTTGCTGTTCTCTAAAGCTGAAGTTATCCCTATTTTTTTTTTACACTTTTCTCTTTCCGCACCATATATTTTCCTTCCACCGAACTTTCTATTCATATGGCTGAATATAGCACTCCATGGACCACAGTTTCTTCAGCAGATGAGCTGTCTTGGCTTAAGTTAGCAGTCTTCCCAAAAGTTATGCTTTCTGAAAAAACATTTTTCTGTATTAATAACCTGACATCTTTTTAAGTTTGGGTTTGATCTAAATTAGATTTTATATGAATCAAGATAAAGACCACATGTTTTCATATGCAGCGGGTTACTGAAGATAATGTCTTGGTTAATGCATTGTTTGACTGATAAACCAGGCCGGTCCCTGTTGCTTTAAATATAGGAACTGTCCTAACTGATCTCTGGCCATCGTATCCGGACACATGACAACATCCTCCCGTAGTGATGAGACATCCCCTGCTCCCTAAACAATCATGAATTAGTCGGATGTTTCTAACAGCGGTCTGAATCAATGCACCAGTCTGTAATTATTTCCAGTTGCTGTAGCAACATTACAACATGAGATCATTGAAGTTAGGTCTCAGATGTAATTGCTTTTGGTTTCAGTCCCTTGAGTCATAAACCACCAAGCTTAGCATAGAGGAACAGCCCTTTGTGTGGCTTTTATCTTTGGCTTCTTCCACTTAGAGAACTTTTTTTTTTTTTATTTAACCTTAAGGGTTTCTCTGACCGGGATTAACTTTGCGAGAGAGGATTTAGCTGCCTATTCACGCTTGCCTAGGAGCAAATCCTTTCCAAAGAGATGAGGTGCACTTTTTCATAACTTGAGAAGAGTGTAATCATATTATTTTATAAGGCAATGTAGAACTGGAGTCATGAACGCTGAACTGAAAGCTTGAAATGGCCACAGCTGTGGTGTCTATTTAACCATAGACCACTCAGTTGGTCTCTGAATGTAGTTTCCCCCACATGTCAAGCAGACAGGCATCAGTTTTTGATAAATGTGGTATTTCTTTTTCAGGAAATGCCAACAAGCCAGCAGGTTCGATTGATCAAAGAACTTGTTTTAGATGACTTTAGTTTCTACTCAAGTGGATGACAGTGCAGTCTTTCTAAATCAGTGGCCAGCAACATATGGAGCTGCTAGTGGCTTTTTAGACACTCTTTAATGGCTCTTCATCATTTTGGTTCAAAGTAGTAGCTAATTTTTTGAACAATAGATATATTGACAGATGCATGTTTTTATTTTTCACTGTTTAATTGCATTAAATTAGCAAAAACTGAAATAGTCGTCAACTAATTCAGTAATCGATTAGTTGTTAACTTGAGTACAGAGACTGTAAAACATGCTTTTAGCTGCCAGAGCGGCCCACTTAGAGCAGTAATAATATAAAAATTGTTAAAAAAATATACAAATATTTTGTATTTAGGATTTAAATTTTTTTTTTTTTCTGTTAATATGCTCTACCCAGAAGTCCTGAAGTGGAAAGTTTAAGTTTTACCTATTTTGACTTCGTAAAAAATCTTCTTTAAGGAACCTTTGGCTATCCAATAATTGATCGATTAATCAAAAAAAAAAAATTGACAGATTAACCAATTTGAAAAATTATCATTAGTTACAGCCCTGATATATATTGTTTTATCTTTTTTAAGTGGTAAAGTTATGTTCAATAACTTGATTTTCCCGAAATATCATTAATGTATAGATGTGTTTAAAAAAAAGTTATTTTATTTATTATTAAATGTCATGTAATTCACAACATATATGTACTGCATAAGAATTACATTTTTTATATATATATATATAATATATATATATATATATATATAATGAGAATAGCAGAATGCAGGCGACGTTCTGGAACAGAATTTTGTGATGACATGACTTGTGGATGTCTCTGCAAAGAGTTTATTTACTAGCTGTGGTGCAAGATCTCTGAGATTACAAAATATTGCGTAAAGAAGTGCATGCAGTGACTTGAAGACTCATTG